AAAGATCCTGACACCCCTCAGAATCTTACGTGGTCGAATAGTTTGGAGTGCTGGGTTCTGGTCTTTTCTGTTTCCAACTAGCTATGAAATCTTGTGTAGGTCACTTTCAGTCTTATATCCTTCATCTGTTATCTAAAGATGAACTACACTAAATTACTCCTTCCAGCTGTGATACTCTATCGTTCTTGTCATTTAGCAATAACATACTTGAAAGTGCTCTATAAATGTTCTTTGTAGTACTCAGGATTATAGTGCACTGAAAAAAAATAGTCATATTTTAAGGCAACACCAATGTTTGTATTCATGGTAGTTGGCAGTCTTTTCACAGCATCACTTTGCCCTCATTCATTTTCAACACCTGAAATGAAGTTGGATTATAAATTGCTCTAGAGTTTGTAAAGCAGGGTGAAAAGGTCTTTGTTTTTCTTTTAAATCCAGTTGTCTGTTTTCTATTCATACTAGTGCTTGCTTTTTCATGGGCAAAAAGCAGAAAAGTTTGCTACTTCAGTCTCCAGTGTGTCTGTCTGACCTCACAGAAATGTCTTCACGCTTTTACCTAGCAGGACCACCAGAGGCTCTGTCTCACTTGCAGTCCCTGGCCCGACACCGAAGTCTTACTGGAATCTGTGCTCCGGGGGCTGTGCCGGGTAGAGAGGGCAGTGGGAGGTAAGAGCTCTTCACCCTTCACCACCTTCTCCACCCAGCATGGCCGGCACACTTTGGTCTACGGCACATCTCCAAGTATTGAGTGGGTTTTCAATGTGTATGTCTCACCATGGGGATGGGAGGAAATACTCTGATTTGGACTCTCTGGGGTACTTGTGAGTTTTATTATCAGAGTAGGAACTGTTACAAGTGAATGTGTCTTTTATATAGCTTTTAATACTGAATTTTTGGGCTGCTTTTATCTTTATCCACAGAAAATATAAAAGCAAATTTCTAAGTGTAGTATCTTTTTTTCATTTTAAAACTTTTGATGAAATTTACCATCTTAATTATTTTAAATAAAATTATTTTTAATAATTAAGATGCCAGCTCAGTTGCTTTAAATACATTCTATGTTGTTGCACAACCATCACCACCATCTATATTCCAGAACTTTTTTTTTCATCTTTGTGAACTAAAACTCTATACCCATTAAACATTAACACCCCATTCTTCTCCTTCCCCCAGCCGCTGGTAACCATCATTCTACTGTCCATCTCTGAATTTGACTCTTTAGGTACCTCATATAGGTGGGATCATATAGTATTCGTCTTTTGTGTCAATCATATTGTATTTTTGTAAAAAAAAGAAAAACTGTTACCAAGATATGTGAAATGTAACCTAATTTACGTTTGGTTTATTGTTGTGTGTCTTTAATCATGCTGTGCTATGCCCTCTTAAGGATACAAGCAGGAGATTATACTTCCAACAACAAGCAAACTTGAGTTATTTATATTTTTGTGATTGCATGTGATTATTACATTCTATTTTGAGATCTCTTTGTTGTAGTTTAGAGATGGTTTTAACTAAAAAATAAACAAGAATTTGAGAACAGGAGGAGCTTAAAAGAATGGGAAATTGACTCTGTATAGTGTACAGTGGGCTATTGGCAGCATAATGTCAGTCACTGGCTTGGGCCTTAGAAGACCTCTCTTGGAGTTCCAGTTGTGCAACTTTCTAGCAGTATGATCTTGATGAAGACACTCTACTCCTCTGGGCCTCACTTGCCTATTTATAATTTGGTAATGATGGGCCTGGAATATTTTTAGAATATTTTAGTTCCTCCTAACTTCAGCATTCTAAGAATTAAGGTTGTAGTGCTAGAAAATAGGGTTGAATCTTTGTGTCTGACCTTGTTACAAAAAATGATTTCTGATGGTTTATAAGGGTACGTGAGATTCAACAGTGCAATGTGAATTTAAAATGAGGCAAGAGGAGAGGATGCAGAGTATTAATTTTGGTTTTAATTTTTCTTAACAGCCATTTTATACAGAGAACTTTTCATGAACACAATCAAAATATCCATGAGATAAAAATAACCTAAGTTAATAAACAGCTGGAGAACGTGTTGTTTTAAGTGGTGTTTCCATCCCCCAAGATGAACTTTTTACAAAATGTTCATACAAGGTGGCTTGTGTGAATTTGTTTATTATAAACCCATTAAAATTTGAGATATCTACCTGAAAAAATGAAGAGGAGTAGAATACAACCCTTTTTTATTCTAATAGAGATTTTTAATTGTTCTGCCAGAAGGCCTGTCCCTCAGGCTCTGCCTTCATACAAGTGCCATAGGGCAGCTGCTATGTGAGCATTAGTAACCAAGGAACCAGTGTCACACTTTATGATAGTTTGGCCCATAACCAGTTTCCACCTAAATTCAAAGACCAAGGAAGAGGTAATAATAGAGGTAACAATCTGTTTCTATTTGAGGGTATGTGTGACTATTCTATGTGGAGATGGAATAAATGGGATAAATTATGTTTGGGGCCTGAATAGAAAAGATCCTATCTGTAATGGCAGTTCTTAACCTGGGGTTTAAGAGTTACAGAGAGATTATGAATAGAACTATATCCAGTATTCTGGTTTTCTTTTTTTTTTTTTTTTTGAGACGGAGCCTCAAACTATCCCCCTGGGTAGAGTGCCATGGCATCACGCTCACAGCAACCTCCAACTCCTGGGCTCAAGTGAGTCTCCTGCCTCAGCCTCCCAAGTAGCTGGGACTACAGGCACCCGCCACAACGCCTGGCCATTTTTTGGTTGCAGCCATCATTGTTGTTTGGCGGGCCCGGGCTGGGGATTCGAACCTGCCACCTTAGGTATATGTGGCTGGCACCTTAGCCACTTGAGCCACAGGCGCTGAGCCAGTATTCTGGTTTTCTTTGAAATTCTTTAAATTTTATTGTATACATTTAAAAAATATAAATATATATATTTATTATTATTTTTTTTTTTAGAGACAGAGTCTCACTTTGTCACCCTCTGTAGAGTGCAATGGGTGTCATAGCTCACAGCAACCTCCAGCTTTTGGACTTAGGTGACTCTCTTGCCTCAGCCTCCTGAGTAGCTGACTACAGGCGCCTGCCACAACGCCCAGCTATTTTTTTGTTGCAGTTTGGCTGGGGCTGGGTTCAAACCCACCACCTTTGGTATATGAGGCCGGCGCCCTCCTCACTGAGCCACAGGTGCCGCCTGCATTTTAAAATATTTTTAGAAGAGGTCCATAAGTTTCATCAGATTGCCAGAGGATCCATGACACGGGATAGACTTGGAACCCCTGTATGTTGGGTTAAAGCCAACAGGTTGTGATAGTTGGAGCACGCCATTCAGAATAGTCCTTGAACAGCTCTTGAATGTGGGAAGTCTTGCCTAGGATTTTTCTTTGGCTTAAGTGTTTTTACTTGGCAATAACCAGAGCAGTTTCTCTGGTAATTCTCTTCCTAACTTGGTTTCTTTTTAGAGACCGAGAAAGACTGTTAAATGAATCTAATTTTGATAGAGCAACAAATTTATTCTTCAGTGTTATTTAAAGCACATATGGCTCTCTAGTATTAATATTGCTAGTAGCAACCTAAGTGTGAATGGATGTTTCTGGCAAGGAGCAGATTTTCATTTTAATTGACATTCTCTTTCATATACTAAATCCTGGATGCCAAGAGCTTTCCTCACCAGTAGTTATAAATGCTAAATCTACAGTATACTTGGCTTTGCCACCTTCTGTCAAGATAAATGCAAGCTTCATTTCCCCACAAAGAAGTTAAGAGGAATAATTTGCTTGTTGGTCTGTTTGGAGAGATGTTTTCAGTGAGCACTGCACGGACCCAACTGCAAAGATTTTCAGTGCCTAAAATAAGCTTATTTGTCTTTTGTTCTCCTGAAAAATGCAACAGTTGAGATGAGAATTTTAGAATTTTTCTAAATTCTATGATAGAGAAGTGGCAACAATAAATTCTTTAATACTCTAAGTGGAAGTGTGTTGATGTCTCCTTAGTTTATTCAGAAAGTATTTTGTATAGCTGAGAAACAGTTATTTGTAGAGAAAAAGGAAACTCGGTTTGACAGCTTGGGGGATAGAGGAATAATCTGTGCTCTATAAAGATGGTCAGGTCAGTAGTGGTGGCTCACGCCTTCAATCCTAGCACTTTGGGAAGGTGAGAGGCCAGAAGTTGCAGATCAGCCTGAGGAAGAGCAAGACTGTATTTTTAAAGAATAGAAAGGGCCAAGTGAAGTAGCTTATGCCTGTAATCCTAGCTCTGTGGGCGGCCGAAGCAGGTATTTTGCTTGAGCTCAGGAGTTTGAGACTAGCCAGAGCAAGAGTGAGACTCCCATCTCTTAAAAAAAAAAAAAAAAAGCCTGGCACAGTGGTGTGTACCTGTAGCTCTAGCTACTGAGGAGTCTCAAGCAGGAGGATTGCTTGAGTCCAGGAGTTTGATGTTGTAGTATTCTGTGATGAGGCTACTGCACTCCAGCCTGGGAACAAAGCTAGATCTTGTCTAAAAAACAATCAGCTTTGTATCTGTGCCTTAGAATCTCTTATCCAGTTATCCAGATTTCTGAACTAAGGCGCATAGACGTCTGTTAATAGAAGTGGTAGGTTTATTGAGATTTTGTTTAGGGTAGTTTTTTGCAGACTATAGGGAGGTTTGCTGTTTTGCTTGGTGTCATTAGGATAATGTGTTCTAAAAACCAGGAGCTGAATTTAATAAATGGCAGCATTTATACAAGATTTCTTCCTATGACTCTTAACCACAACCTTTATGAGCTCCTCAGAATAACTCTGTGATGTAGGTAGGGAAGTTATCTTCATTTATAGTTGGGGGACTCAAGACTCAGAAACACAATACAATAATTTTGTATTAAGTTGTCGGGTAATTTAATTTTGTATTAAGTAACTGGGTCTTCTGACTCTTGACGTTGAGCTCTGTAAATCGCACTAGCTATCCCACTTTAAACAGAAGGTATGAGACATAATTGCAATCATGCATACTCCATCTCCAAAGGAGAATTCATTCTTTGTGTCATGGTCCACTGACTATCATTGTCTGCTTGAAGTTACTGAGATTCCAGCCTTGTTTGTAGACTATCCCTGAGAAATGGTGAGGATTAGAAGAGTCCGCAGTCCTTGAGGTTTTCTTTGATAATAATATCTGTAACTGCATCAAATACAAATTTGACATTCTGTGTATCTGTAGCACAGGTCATGTGACTGTAGATTTCTTTGACATCTTTTCGCATATTCAGGTCAAGAAACTGGCTCTTGATATAATTCCCTGCATCCTCATAGGAGTTGTTCCCTGGTTTTCCAGAAAGATAGTGAAGAAGTGGGATAAATTAACCTTTCTTAGTTGCTTAGGTGACTGACTTGATCCTTGTAATATTGTGTTAGCTGCAATTGGGGACCTGTTTTTAAAGGGAGATTTCTCCCTGTTGTACTCAAGTGTCTCCCACTTGAGTTGAACAGAAATCCTAAGAAGTGTCTTTGTGTCTTAGCCTTAGTTTTCCATTTGAATAATCATTGGCTCTCCCACATCTAATCTATTCCAGAGACATCTGAATTTAAACTCCAAATTTCTCCCATAAGAAGTTTCTTTATGTCACCTTGGCCTAGGAAATGAGGCAATTGCCAGTTACTACTGTTGTCACCAGCCCCGACACTCACCATCATACTCCGGAAAACAAATGCTGAGATGGACTTTCTTGATTTTTTCCTCAAATAGGTCCTTCTTGTTGAGAAAGAGGACAATGGAAGTAGCCGCAAAGAACTTGTGGTTACATATGCTGTTGAACAGATGCAAAGACTCATGCATACGATTCTAGTAAGAGGAAACACCATTGAAAATATCAGATTTGGCTTATAGGATGTCTGTCTACTTCCTGGTTTTGTTCTCCCTTGGAGACTAGTGTTCCAAAAGTAAAGACAGGGAACAGCTATTTCTTTTTAATGTAGTGGAGTAAAGCCAGAGATGTGGTTCATTCTGATCCTCTGTCTATCATTTTAATAGCTGTGTGACTTGGGGGGAAATTACTGAGATTTTTTTTGTGTCTCAGTTTCCCTATCTTATAGGAGAATCATGCACGTTAATTGAGGTCATATATGTATTGTATCCATGATGGTAGCTGGTGTGTAAGTGCACAGTGCATGTGATGCAGATTTTTGGCAGCTAAGACACAACTGAGGACTTTGACATTCTGTAAGTACTGCTGATCAAGGCTTGAAACCAGGCCCAAGTTAGCATGTGTTCATTTGCATCTCCAGGATGGTTTGGATAGACTTCTGTCCTGGGATCCTGGCTCTTGGTTTCAGCAGGAACATGACAGGGATACTTGGCCACGTGATGAGGGCTAAAGAATTTACCAGTGCATGCGTGCGCGCGCGCGCTCTCTCTCTCTCTCTCTCTCTCTCTCTCTCTCTCTGTGTGTATATATATATATATATATAGTTTGTTTGTTTGTGAGACAAGAGTTTTACTATGGCACCCTCAGTAGAGTGCCATGGCACTGTTAATATACACTCAGTATATTTTTAGGCTTCTAAAGTGAATTTAGTTCACCCTTCTATTATGTTGTGTGAGGATTCACATCACACCTCACAGCAACCTCAAACTCTTGGGCTTAAGCGATTCTCTTGCCTCAGCCTCCCAAGTAGCTGGGGCTACCAGTGCCCACCACAACACCCAGCCATTTTTGTTGTTGTTGTTGTAGTTGTAATTATTTAGCAGGCCTGGGCCAGTTTCAAACCCGCCAGCCCCGGTGTATGTGGCTGGTGCCCTTACCACTGAGCTACAGACGCCGAGCCAACCAGTGCCGTATTGTAAGCATTTCTGCCCTCATCCTCCCCTGATTGCTACTTAGAGAGGCAGGCTGCAGCTCTGCAGAGGTGCACGTTTGCCCAGCACTGCCTATTTTCAGAGAGCAGGCCTTGAGGCACTTGGAGTATGCTGCCAACTGACTTAGTCTTTTCATCTAATAAAGTAAGAACAATCAAATCTGTAACCTTTTCAAAAAAAAAAATTGTAGCCTTTCTTACTATGTTAATACTCCTGCAAAACCCTTCACAATCTCATAGACTTGGTGGTTGAAAGTAGAAGAGATCTTAGAAAGTGAATAGCCCTGTAAGACATTTTGGTTAGAAAATACTCAGAGTGCTCTACTATAAAGCAAGGGATAGGAGTATAGGGGTTTTGTCTTTCATCAGTAAACTGTGGGCCTCCATCTATGAAGTAGATGCTTGTGTGAAATTAACATCTTCCATGCCTATGACATTATCTCCAAGTCAGAGAAGGTAACTGGCTATACTCTAACACTTGTCCTGCAGAGTTCCTGTCTTGGAGAATTCCACAAAGGAAAACCACTCACCTAGTCAGTTGCCAGTTGAATTGGTATGTCAGATATCTGGTCTGACAGTGTCTCCTTATTCTTGATGACACTCAGTGTATTTTTAGACTTCTAAAGTGAACTTAGTTGTTCAACCCTTCTATTATGTTGCGTGAGGATTCACATCGTAAGTTGTTTGCTCTATCATTTTCTTCTCCTATCCTTCCTTGGGCAGTTTGGGAGAGTACTAAGCATAATATTCCTTTGCATTGTCTAGTTGATGTTCTCTTATCTCTTTAATACTCCGTTCCTCTTATGAGTTTCATGATTTCCAAGTGGTACTTGGATGTCCAATCTGAGACCAAGCTTATACACATTAAATCTAGAGCTCTAAATTGCTCACCTTGAACCTACAGAAGAGGTTTTTCTAGAGACATTGATCAGTTAGAAAACTGCTAGACTTTCATTGTTAGCTGAAATTAACCAAGGTAGGGCACTGGAATGACACAAGGCTTAGGGACAGGGTTGTGCAGAGAACTTGTCCTTCCAAAGCTGCTTGCTGCAGAGGCCACTCACCACTTCGTCGTCCTCAACCAGCACCATATCATAAGCACTGAGAGCTGCACAAAAAATGATGCAGGTGACTCCTTCAAAGCAGTGGATCCACTTCTTTCTCTCTGATCTTTGTCCTCCCACATCAAACATCCTGAGGGAAGAAGCAGGTATTCTCATAGGTATGTCCAACATGGGACCCAAAATACAGGGGAGAAGTAGAACAGTGATTTAGGTTAGGCTGCAGCAAAGGCCAAGAAGCATTCCCATACCCCTTTTGGGGATTCCACCTGTATATCTGGGATGCCCCGGAGAACCACGTACTCACCTGAAATTCAAGTCTTTGACGGAAAACTTGGTCTCAATTATGCCAGTAGTTTTGACTCTGGATCGTAGCACATCTTGCTCGTTAGGAAGATAGTTAGGGTCTGTGATTCGTTCTAGTTGGTTCAGGTAGCTGTAGAAAAGTAATTGGCATTGATGACAAGTTTTCCACATCCAAGGCTAAGAGAGGTAAAAACTGTGTTACCCAAAGTTACACAGTTAATTTGGTGATAGAAGCAGGACTAGAATCCTGTATTGTTAAATCTGGAATTCTTTCCTTCAAAACCTTGTGTCCTTCCTAAAGGTAAGTAAGGGGTAAACTAAGGGACAAGCCCATTTGAGGCAGAGGTTCCATCATTTAAACCACATCAGATCAGTTTTCTTGGGTTTTGCCTGACTGTAAGCTTTTCTGTACCCTTGAATGAGATTTAGTCGTTAAATGGATGCTCAAAATTCCATCAAGAGGCAATACATTGAAAGACTTCAGATGCATAGATACATGAACCACTGCAATGCATGGACTTTGTTTATATTCTGAATCAAACTGGGAGAAAAACATGTAACATAATGGAGAATTTTTTTTTAATTGAGACAGAGTCTCACTTTGTCATCCTCAGTAGAGTGCTGTGATGTCATAGCTCACGGCAACCTCAAACTCCTGGGTTCAAGCGATTCTCTTGCCTCAGCCTCCCTAGTAGTTGGGACTATAGGGACCCACCA